TCTCTTACATTGCTACATAATCTTAGCCCATCTAACTTTGTATCTCAAAACTCTGGAAAGGAGAGAAATTGGAGGTTTTTCTGCAGACACTCAGCATCACCACCGCCAAAAGAGTATGGAATGATCCTCCCAAAGTATGTCTACCTTCCCCCAGGATTTAATTTATTTATTTCTAAAGCTATAAGGGAAAGCAGCCAATGCAAGGCTTTCCTTCAAAATATGTGGCTCCTCCGATTTTGATCTACAGCCTGGAAAGCTAGATTTCCCAGCATAAATCTCAACTTTTTGGGTTTAAATCACAAGCTGGGAGGGCCACAGATCCAACAGGAAGTCCTTGATTCTTTTTCTTGATTGAATTGACAAATAGAGTTGTTTCACCACCAAAATCTAAATGTAGTTAAAAGCCCTCCACGTACCCACAAAGAAACTAACAAATATGGAATTTTTGGAATTTTCAAAATGTACTAAAACAGATCTGATTCCAACACAAGGTGAATTTTTAGCCTTCCTGCATGAAATGAGCACTAACAAGCAAGAAAGTAAGTTTTTTCTACCAATCAAATCATGAAGTGTGTATCAAATCTTGGGCTGATGTTTGATGGTACTAAATCTCAAAATTTCCGTCATGCAAGTTGAGTCATTGAAAAAAGTAGAAGGTGATTTAAAGTTGAATAGTCAAGTAAATCATGCAACATTTGATAAAATTGAAGCAATAAGTGAGAGGATGGATGCCAGTGAGAAAGTTGTAAAATCAGACATTAAATTGATGGTGAAACAGATCTATTTGTCAATTCAATCAAGCAAAAGAATCAAGGACTTCCTGTTGGATCTGTGGCCTTCCCAGCTTGTGATTTAAACCCAAGTTGAGATTTATGCTGGGAAATCTAGCTTTCCAGACTGTAAATCAAAACTGGGAGAGCCACAGATTTTGAAGGAAAGCCCAGCAATGGCTGCTTTCCCTTATAATTTTAGAAATAAATAAATTCAATCCTGGGGGAAGGTAGAAACACTTTTGGATGATCCTTCCATCCTCTTTTGGAGGTGGTGATGTTGGGTGTCTGCTTTCGAACCTCTAATTTCTCTCTTTTCCAGAGTTTTTGGATACAAATTTGGATGTGCTAAGATTACGTAGCAATGTAACAGATGAAATGCACATAAGGTACTGAGTAATTTCATGACTAGGGCTGAATTGATCTTATTACTGGTTAATAGAGCTAAGATGCTATGCAAGTGGGAGTTGAATGATTGGGAAAATTCAGGAAGACAAGCAATATTTATAACCCACAGCTACCCACTCATCTGGGAGAAAATAAAAAAAATGGAAGTATGTGAAGTGTTTTGCTTGCTTTTCCTTGAAACAAGTGGGGAAATCACATGTCCAATTCAACTTTATCTTTGTGAACTGATGTATTCTTCTTATCTTTTTGGATAATTTTTTAACCTAGGGAATATACCTTTATTATGCAACTCCTGTAGAAAATAGGTGTTAAGACAGATGTTCAATTAGTTTCAATTCTTAAACCCACACACCAGAGAAGCTTTGACAGCCTAATTCTGTGTGAGTTTTTCCCAAAATTAATTTGGATTCATTACTATTTTTTTGTTGCACTGATTCACCATGTAACAAGAAATATAGAACAGCCTACTTGTGAAATAATATGTAATTTTATTGGATCTTCCCCTCAATCCTGTCAAATGTAAAATTCAAGCACAGCCCTGACAATCCAAAGTTTCACATTCATCACTCAATTTGAAGCCACAAACATGGTTTGATGGGGCTGGGTCAAAATATTATATTTTAATTATAGAAGATATGCCTTCAAGATAACAGTTGAAGTACAAGCTTTCTGTATTTGTACCTGTCAATTTAGCTTTGCCCAAGACCTTGAGGCAACAGGGAGAGCAATACGATACATGTATTTGTATCTGTTTTTCTCTGAATACATTGTATTTGTGTTGTATCAAAAACAAATGCCATACAAATGTATCAAAATTCTTGTATCTGGTCACGAATACAGCCAAATAAAAATTTGACACTGTATCTTTTTTGTATCTTCCACAATTTTCGTTGAAAATAGTACATACAAATTGGCCAAAAAATGTGTAGGGGTTTTTTTTTGAGAAAATCCATTTGTATTAGGGGAGCATCAAATAGATGAAATCCACCATTAGAAACCAGTCAATTATCCAGAAAAAAAATGCCGAGTTTTTTTTTTTCAAAACCAGTCAATCATATAGGGGCTTGGCTCCTTGACTCCCAAAAGTTGGAGAGTTGACTCCCAAAAACCAGAGACGTCCTGAGGACTGTCTCAGGAATCAGGATGGTTCTCAGAATGTCTGCCCCCCAAATTTTGAGAGTCAATCCTCCCTGCACACCTGTCAGCAGGTTTGGGAGTTGGACCCCTAAAAAATCTAATCAAAAAAATAAATGAAGCCCGCAGAGGGGTTTGGAGTTGATGCTCCAAAACTGACCGGGATTTTGGGAGTCAATGAACTAAAATTAGCCTCCATGGCAGCGGCCAGGAGGGGTCCTCCTCCAGCTGCTGGGAGTACACTCTTGCAGGTCAAGAGAAACCCTCTTGGGTGTTGAGAGTATACACTCTCAGCAGCCGGGGGGAGAAATCCCCTCTGGTGTTGAGAGTGTACAACACTCTCAAAAGCTGAGAGGTGTACACCTCAAAGGCCAAGGGAAGCCCTCCCAGCTGTTGAGAGTGTACGCCCCAACAGCCCAGAGGATTCCTCTTGGCCATCAAGGGTATCCACTTGAAGAGGATTCCTCTCAGCCCTTGAGGGGCATCAGCCAGGTCTCTTCCCCTGGCCGCTGAGAGTAGGTTTTTCTTGGCCATTGAGAGCACACATTTTTGGAAAACCAACCGGTTTCTAATGGTGGATGTCTTACGTTTGATCCTCCCTAATACAAATTTTTCAAAGTCTCAGAAGAACAATACAACACAAAAGTATGATCTGCAGATGTCCCTCTTTGCCATTCATGAGAATGTACTCTCAGCGGCCAAGGGTGGAATCCTACCGGCCGCCAAGAGTTACTCTCACCAGCCTGGAAGAATCCTTCTGGCCGTTGTAAAGTTTTTTTTTTTTTTTTTTGGGGGGGGGGTGTGGAGTTGCAAATTACCTGGTTACCAGCAAGCTAGTTTTTGACACTGCCAGAATTGACTCCAAAAAACCCCCATCAAAGGTCTTTGATTTTT